ATATGGAAGAATGACTATACATATATATTTTTTATGCTCACTTGTAATGATATTTATAAGAATATGTTAAAAAATAATATACTAATAGAAGAACATCTCCGAGTTCTAACAGGAGCTGCTTCTCTAACTGAAGCTGCTTCTTTAACTGGAGCTTCTTTTCTAACAAGAGTTTTTTTTCTAATAGGAGTTGCTTTTTTAACGGATGTTTTTTTTTTAGACAATGTTTGCTTCTTTCTTGTATCTGTACAAAAATTATTTAGTATATTTAATAAAGGACTAAGAGAACCTTTAAATATATTAATTTACATGTGAATTTTTTCTTAGGAGCCATAATAATTAGTAACAAAAATATCTTGCAAAAAAGTAATTTATATATACCCATTAGCCGTATTAGCTTATTATGATAATATTACATATCACTTTTTAAAATATTATTATGTGTAAAATTTTTCTAGCTAATTAAATTATATCACTTACATTTGTATATACTTTTTATTTTCGAAATAAATTTTTAACAAATACAATAAAAAACTTAGTCTATTCTATGAAACGAACAAACAGAACTTCCAAACCCTTTCGCAGTCCTTATGTTCCAAAGTTGTGCAAAAAGCCAAAAAAATCACAAAAAATAAATATAAGAACTTTTGTAGATGTGGAATCTTTTGAAAAAACTGGTGAGATTGAAATTGATGATGAAAGAATAAACCAAATTGAAGGAATAGACCAAATTGAAGGAATAGACCAAATTGAAGAAATTAACAAGTTGATGAAACTGATGAAATTAGCGATAATGCTGAAGATGAAATTAAAGAAACTAGGGCAGATGAGGTTAGGTTTTTTTTTTCTTTCAATCCACGGTTTATAACATTTAAATGTTCAATTATAAAATTTTATGCATTTTGTTTTTTTTTACATTGTTTTAAAGGAATTTGAATACATCAATTCAAACATGTACTTTACAAGTAATATGTACGATGTACTATTAATCGATGACATTGAGGAAGACCCAGTGAGTGATGAAATATTAGAAGAAATATCTTCAGAATTCGATGGATTTAATGGAGAGTATGAACCATACTTTCCAAATTTTACGTTTGCAGCCTTGTATGTTTGGAATACAGAGTTTACAATATATAAGTAATATTTCGTAAAATCTCTGTATTGGAAAGTCTGTGTATATATTTATCGTTGTACCTAAATTGGAGTCATTTTGATTCAGAATCACCACCCGGATGGAAATTTTGTAATTATTTTTATAGAATTAGGGCTTTAGAATTAGAGTTAAGGCTATAATCAGGGTTTATAATAAAATATATATATATATTTCGTATAGAATGGTTATAATTACAAAATTCTCATTTGGGACTGACCTGATTCTGAATGAGGATGATTCTCACTAGGTATATTATATTATGTTCAGCAACTAGTGCATATGAAGGCCTAGTCAAAATTATTACTCATTCTAAATTTTGCAAATATGATGTTATCAAGAATATTAGATGTATGTGTAAGTGGAGATGTAGATTACCTCTACTTACAGTATGTCAATACGATGTGCCTATTTGCTCTCAAAAGGCGCCATCTGTACTTACATCTACAAAAAAAGCATTTACAATATCTCCGTTAGAACATTTGAAGTGTATATTAAACAATCTAGCAATTATGCCTAAATTATATTTCAGTCCTAATATAATTAAAAATGAGAAAAGCGAATTCTGGCACAGGAGTCTCTGGCAGGAGTCTCCACTATTTGGATCGCATAAAATAAAAAGTGATAGTAGAGGTTAGTATTAGAAAGCCTATAATATTTAATATATTATATATTTATAAAATACACTTATAAACTTTATATTCCCAAAATCAGTTAATTAATTAAATTAATTAGTATGTGATGTTCTAAATATGAAAAAAATATAATAACTAATAAAATATACAAAATATCATAAGTATGTTTTATAATAAATATCTTCACATACTAATTTTAAGGGGTTTATTATTGTTTCTGAATTAGTAATATGATAATTGAAACTGTAAATTTTATATTATTTTTTGTAAAGATAATAGCAAAAATGAGGACTTATAGGATTCAATTATCATATTACTATTTCAGAAGCAATGATAAATAACTTGTAATAATTAGAAATATATAATGTAGGTGATTTTTTTTTATACAAAGAACTATCTACTAAATTTATAGGCTGCATATGTGGCATAGTAGACAATGAAATATATAGTTCTCGTATATTAAAAATTGACTGACTGTTGCACCACCAGAATCTTCCTAATTGCCAATATACTAGTTCCCGACATACCCGAGGAAATAATAAAGAATTATGGTTTGTTGAAGGGGATTCTGTATTTGTTGATTCCAAAAACATTTCTCAACGTATCAATGTGTGGTTTTTGGATTTACCAGAACCCGATAACTATGATTTCTATGTTCAAGAAGTTATATACCGTTTTGATGGTCATTGGAAGTACCGTGATATTTCAACAAGATATAAAATACCTTGTGAATCAGTTATGCTTAAAACACCACCACAACTCATGTCTATATATAAGGTGTTTCTTGATATATATATTAATGATTTCGGGACTTATAGAAACGTTTATCACTCGTTGGGAGGAATATATTTACAATTTGTGAATATGCCTTTATCTTTAAGAAAACAACTTAAAAACCATTTTCTGATCGGACTAGTCCTGTTTGGTGCTAATCTTAATGATGTTATCTGGCCAATTCTTAAGGATATTCAACATTTAGAAAATGGATTTTTAGTGCAAACATTATATAAGAACATATGAGTTGTAGATGGTCTTGGGTGTGTTACCGCAGATCTGCCTCAAGGCAATGATCTTGCTGGTGTTAAACAACATAATGCTATTCATAGTTGCAGTTATGCAATATTTCTAGTAATCACCTTACGGATCTAAACTATAATCATATAGCAAATGCCTGTTCTCACTATCAAACCAAAAAACGATTATTAGAAATTGAATGTCAACCAACACAAATAGAGAAGGAACATCTAGCTACTAAATATGGGTTAATAACTTCTCCTGGACCTTTTAGTATCCTCCAATGGGATCAACACATACAGTCTCTACAAGACATATATCATTCTATGGGTGGAAAGGCTTGGACTTTGCTAAATGCTACATTTAATATACTTAACAATAGTGGTAAAAAAGCCTTTATAGAACATTGGAAAACTATTGAAAAACCTAGTAGTTGGGGCAGATTGCCTAATCCAATAAGGCATCGTTAAAGCTTTATGTTTTCTGATGTTTTAAAAATCTCAATGCTGATGCCATTTATACTTAGGTGTTTCTTAAACTCCAATTATATAAAAAAAGAGATTTCACCAACAAAACAAACTAAGCAACTTTGTATTCTTTAGGCAGTTGAGGCTAAAGTTCTTAGACTTGCATTTTCAACTACAATGACAGAAAGCACTTATAAAGATTCACTAAGAAAAGAACATGAGATGCTTATTCAGGTTAGTTTTATTAATTCTTAATTATTGCAATTAACTTTACTAATATTTTTGTAGCTGCAAGCTTTTCTTGTAATAATTAAAAATCAATATCAAAATTACCGACCCGTTTTTTACTTATTTGAAGATCAGCTAAAGTAGAGGTGTTGGGTTAGAGTTATTTTTCTGATGCCAATAGTTATCTTACATTTGGTTGTTTGATGTAAAAAATAAGTCGATAATATTGGTCTAATAATATTAGTTTATTTTAGGTATCTGATCAAAATCAGTATTAGCATTAGGTTTTACATAATTAGGAAATTATAGTCAGATGCAGCTTTAAGTGCCTAAAGTAACAACTTCAGGCAACAGGAGAAACCATGCAACATATAAAAAAATTAATTTACAATTCAGATCATTCTGCTAGAACATAATCCACTATGTTTATTATAATAAAATGGTGTTGGATTATAATCATAAAATGTACTAGTGAAATGATCTGATTATACGTACATAGAAAACTTGCAACTATAAGAGTACTAGCAAAGTTAATTGCCAATGCCAGTGCAATGTATTATTACCTATAA